TATTAGTCAATCTTTGGAGAGGCAATAGGGCTCCTACCGAGTAAGAAGAAGACAATCTTCTTAGACACGGTGTGCCCGATTTCATCTCCAGTTCTGTCTAAAGGTACCAACCAACTAACCTCTTTCCGACTTTGTGATTCCACTTTGCTCCCGGAGGCGAGTTATGTAACGATCTCCTACCCTTGCAGCCCGAGCGGATGCGAAATGAGCGATGAATTAAAGCAGGTGGGCCGTGGCTTCTCCTGTAGGGTGAAGTCATTCACCGTTTATGATGTGAATGGCTATCGCTTTCGCATGCGAGAAGCTACGAGGAGAGTCGACCCAACCTAAAAACCATGTCTTTGCTGCGGAGTTAAATGCACGCCCGACTTGACGGATGGGAAGGACTACTACGGCATAGTCGAAGAGATATCTGAGCTCAACTTTTAAGGGTGCCGGGACTTTAGCGCGCGGTGGTATTCAAATGCCATTGGTTCGATCCACGATATCACGAGGAAAGACCTTACGATAGGTCAAGTCGAGATTGACAGGACTCGACTATAAAGGAGGCGATGTCTACATTGTGGCAACCGAGGCGCCACGCAAGTTTATTACCTCCATGGGCGTGCCAAAAGGCGAGAAGCTTGCGGGGTGGAGCCTTGTGCATTTGGTGTCGCCCATGTGAAAGCGCCTCTCCCAAACGACAACGATTACAACTTTGACCCAAGCACCGATGAGTTCTATCAACTTTGAGGGGCTAGAAGGTACCTTGGAGATCGACATTGGTTCGCTCATGGGCATGGAAGTAGACAACGAAATCGATGAGGACGAGGGTGAGGAGGTGCAGGATGCGGGGACTTAAGAATGCTTGGCGATGGCGGATGCTGTGCGATGGAGTTGTCGGGAGGAGGTACATGATGATGACTATGGAGCGATGAGGATGATGATGGCGGTGATGACTTAAGGGAGCTCGACAATATTGATAGCGATGGCGACGATAGTGATAGAGATGGCGACTCCACGCTAGAGATATTGCCGTTCGCGGAGATAATTACGAGGCCATGTAATACTATATTGTTATTATTATGTTCCTTTACAAGTACTTGTCATTTATTTATGCTAATGATTTTGTTCTTTGTCATTGCGAGCACTCGGCAAAATGCCAGCGGACGGCGGCGGCGGCCACATCGAAGCAAGATATTTCGGCGTGCAGTGTCCCCCCGCAGGAGACCCACCGACGGCGGCGAGGAGGAGGAGGAGGTGTTGGTCGTGGGTCATCCGAGAGGGGGTCCGGCCCCAGCCGGACGTCGCCAGCGCGACAGAGAGCTCTTGTTTCGTCCTCGCAAGGGGACGGACGTCGCAGGATTTGACGGCAATGGCGCGGCGGCGATTTGACAGCGATGATGAGCGACGACGCGGCGATGACAGCGCCTACCGGCGTAGCGAGGCAACCCGACCGTCGGCGTGGCCAAGGTGTGTACTTTCGCGGGCCACGCAGCTTCCTAGGGTGCGGCCGCAATTCCACCGGCGCCCGGTGATCACACCGTGGGCGGGCCGACGTAAGTAACCATTATTGATTTCACTACTTGTTCATATGACATGTCAAAAATCGAATCGAAGACTAACAATTGTTCTTAATGACTCGTGCGGTTCGGAAGATTGTGAGTGGAGCGCAGTCAAGCACGCCATATCAATGGCATCCGGGGCCTCTGATTAAGAGTACTACCACAGCCTTGTCAGCGTCAAGCGGCGAGATGAAGGTGCCCACCAAGTGGTCCCACTTCTACCTCGTCGAGGAGGGTGGCGAGACCATCGCTGCAAAGATAAAGAGGGAGTTTTGGGTGAGTCTTTCATCGCACCGCATTGCTAAATAATACGCATTAAATCGGACTTCTTGCAAAAAGGAAATGCTACATGATGTATGCGTATGCGGGACTTCTTCACGTGCGAGGAGGGTAAAGCGGCCCGAGCGCGCGCGAGTGCGAGGAGGCGGTCGCAAAGATCGTCTCAAGGACCTGTACCATGAGGCGCGATATAGGCCATCCGCGACTTCCACGCCAGCGTGCTTGGAGAGAACATCAAGAAGCCCCAAATCCGCCGAGAGAATGAACTCGAGGGAGGCCGACCTCACCCAAAGCGCAATACAAGCGGTAATTAAGTATGACAACATTCGTTGATTCCTTGGTGAAACATTACACTAATCTTCTCGCATGTCAAATACTTGATGTCATGCGGTGTGTCCATCGTGGTGCGACAACCACGGGAATCTTGAATGGAGATTGTGCGCATGTAGGCGCGCACGGATGAGGCGTCTGTGGTAGCGCGCCCACCGTCGTCGGGCCGCCAGCTTGCCAGAGATCGAGGGGTGTCACACCACCAAGGAATCAGCCCTCCCCGATTCGTGACAAGATGGGTATGCGTCCGTTCATGTCTTAATCCTTGCGCTCAATTGTCAATACTTGTAACCATGTTTGTGTTTTCAATGCGAGCCTTGAGACGCACGGTGGGCGGGAAATCAACGAGTACACCGCGTACCTCCTCTCTCACAAGGGCAAAGCGACGGATCCGAACAACGTCTACAACCCGGAGGGCGGGCCCGATCGTACCAACCCCACCGCCTACGAGAAGGCCACCGAGTACACCGTCGCGGCTCGCCGGCGCTCACTGGGAGACGTTCGACCCCCACCGCCGAGCCCCACGGACACAGACCTCCTGCGAGAGGTTGGGACGAAGAAGCAAAGACGGCCGCTACTACATGGGCCTGACGCCCTCGACCCGTCCCGAGTTCCCTACTGGCCCGACCTGGTTCGATCCACGCCCACGAGCTCCGGCGACATCCCGTAAGCGCCCGGCGGCGATCGGCGTCACGTAAGTAAGTGCCGTTTTCGTTCGTCGTTCACTCGTTTCGCTTTTTGTACATACAATCAACACTGCGGATGTAATATTGCAGCCCAGATGGAGGCCAAGATGGAGGAGAGGATCGCCATGTTGCACGCGCAGATGATGGCGCAGCAGATGGCTTACCGGCAAAACTGCGGCGGCACTACAACACTCAAATGCGAGAACATGGCGGCTTCTTCCGGTCCATGCAGGGCGGGCGGGCGTCTACACCGCCTCCTCTTCCAATGTTCGCTCCACCGCCTCCTCCTCCGAGTTTTTTCACGTGCTGCTCACTGCCGCTCTGGAGGGACCCGGTGAGTATATTGACTCTTGCTTTAACTTAGCGTCCATGCTGCGAGATACTAATGACATCACTTGGCGTTTAACATGCGAATACGGTCGGTGAGTTCGAACCCGTCTCTCTGGAGGTCCCGCCATCGAGATGATGTCGTATCCACCACCTGCACCCTATCCACCGTATCCACCTCGCGTGGCCCTCCTCCAACGTACTCGTGGCCGCCGGTCGCGGAGGGTGGCGCTGTGCTGCAGCGCCTCGATTTGGTCAAGGGGATTTTCGTGGGCAAACCACAGGGGGCTCTGAGGCGGAGCGGACGACGAGACCGGGGACGGCGGCGACGAGCTAGGTATTTGTCGATTCTGTTATCATGTATCCACCGTATCGTCGAAGTTGTTGTCATGTATTTCTTTTCTTCGTTATGGACCTAGACTTGTTATGTTGAACCCGTGTGATGGGCGTCGACTTGTGGTGTTCGACGTGTTGGACTTCATGTGATGGTTGTAATGTACTTGTGTGGTTGTTATTGTGACATATATGTGAGATATATGTGATGTTGTGCGTTATTGTGATATATGTGGTGATGTTGGCGACAAATGTGATGAAATTGTGATATAAATGGTGCTACTAGGTGCTTACGGTGAAATTGAATTATAATTTGTGATTTTGCAGGATTTTGATGCGAGAAAAGCGAAAAACAAAAGCAAAAAAAAATTCCGACTTTGTCGGCAAAAATTCGGGCAAAAACCTCAGAGCGAGTCTTTGCTGGCGCAATGGGAGGCGATCGGCAAAGAAGGTCAAACCTTTGCCGACCGCAAATCCACGTGGCGATCGACAGCGAAGCGATCGGCAAAGAACATTTCAAAAAAAAAATATTTTCTTTCTTTGCCGATTGCCGAAATTTGGCGGCCGGTCGGCAAACAATTTTGAAAAAAATTCTTTGCCGATCGAAAGGAACCAGCCGATCGGCAAAGCACGCCGTCGGTGACGGCGCCGCGTGGCTATGCCGACTGGCTTTGGCGTGGCGGTTGGCAAAGACTTTGCCGATTTATGTGACACGTGGCAGTCGGCAAATCCGCCTTTGCCGACCCAGGCTTTGCCGACTGCTCGTTGCCGACTGCCACGTGGATTTGCGGTCGGCAAAGCCTTTGCCGACTGGATTTATGCCTTTGCCGACCGGGGCAAGCAGTCGGCAAAGAGGCGTTTTCCTGTAGTGGATGCGTGTTCTGATTCCAAGGTTACACTTACCAAGCTTAGCAGATCTTCAGAAGCTCGCCGGCCGGTGACGATCTCCAGGACAAGGACGCCGTAGCTGAAAACGTCTGACTTGGTAGTGAAGATGCCGCGATAGGCGTACTCTGGTGCCATGTATCCGCTGCATCTCGGAGACATGGCATGTCAGGACTCAGGATGCATGTACAAATGGAGCCACGTATATATCTCTCTATTGGAAAAACTGGACATAGACACGTTTGAGGAAAAAAGAAGAAGAATGAAGGAACTTGGAGACGCCAAACTTACTAAGTTCCAGCAATATGTCTTGTGTTTTCTGCGCTCGATTCGATCTTAAATAACTTGGCCAAGCCAAAGTCGGAGATCTTGGGGTTCATGTCTGCGTCTAGCAAGATGTTGCCCGGCTTGAGATCACGGTGGATGATCGTCAGCCGTGAATCCTCGTGAAGATACAGAAGCCCTCGGCTGATCCCTTCGATGATCTTATACCTTTGCCCCCAGCTTAACTGCTGTTGCGTTTTAGGATCTGAAAGTTTGGTTTATCTCACTTAGTAGTTAGTAAACAAATGACCAAGTGATATGATATGAAAATAAAATGATAGTGATCACTGGTTCATGCACCGAAAAGGATTTTATTGAGGCTCTTGTTGCTGAGGAACTCGTAGACGAGGAGCTTCTCTTCTTCATCGATGCAGAAACCGAGTAGGCGCACCAAGTTCTTGTGTTGGAGCTTTGCAACGAGGACAATCTCGTTTTTCATTTCCACAAGTCCTTGCTGTGAGATTGTTGACAGTCTCTTCACTGCAATTTCCTGCCCATTTTGCATCGTGCCCTGAAGAATATTGATGTCAGACCATCATGTGTTTTGTGCTTATTTGGCAGCCATGCCAAAAGAAAGGACTATTTGGCATGCTGGGCATTTTGCAAAGTTAAAATTCAGGCTGCAGGATTGAAGTTACTTTGTAGACCGGTCCAAAACCGCCTTTCCCGAGCATTTTTTCTTCTGAAAAGTTGTCAGTGGCAGCCCGCAGAGTACCTAGATCGTACTGGAGAGTTTCTGAACCTCTCATTTCTTCGTAACCTCCATATCCTGTTTATATAAGATCAAGGAAATGAAAGAGTCAACTCAAATCTGAAGGTTACAGCACATTGTTCCAAAGATACGCTGAAGTTGTTTCAGCACATACGGTTGTTTGTAGTTCTGTTCTTGCAGATACAGACGGCAAGAAGAAGCAGCAGCAGCAGCAGCAGTGTGAGAGCAACAGGAACTGAGACGAGGAGAGCTGTATTCCTGACCTTGCGCCGACTGCTTCCTGGGCCTGACGTGGTGGAAAATTCAGAACGAAGCTGTTTCGACCTTCTTCGAATATGTTTTTTTAAGGGAATTGCTCCGGGACTCCTCTTTATAAAAAATTGTGCGCATCTCAAAGCAGCTCATTCATCAATAAATTATTTTTCTATTATTTTGCACCTGGGTGCTGCATGGGCCTGGCCCGTCCAAGCCTAACCCGTGCCCAGAAAGCCAGAACTGATTCAGAATGAAAGTCACGCGTCCAGGATTGAGATCCCGATCCTGTTGTTCGGTGGTCCGCGGAGATCACGTTGCTGTTTCAGCCCTAGGCTTCTATAGCGGATCGGAGGAGGGAGATGGAGGTCCTGCCTGCTTGCCGCCTTCCAGACGAGTTGGCCGCGAGACGAAAATGACATAACGCATGGAGCCCGCTGTCCGCCGTATTTCCGCAGGGGCTCGGAGAAGGGTGCGGCGGAGCACGGTTTCGCAGGGATCCTAGACGACTCATCCGCAAGGAAACGCGAGAGGCCTTGCACACGTGCGTGTGCGTGACTTTCCCTGGATCAGGGATGGGCTTGACGGGCTAGGCCCATGCGGAACCCACGTGTAACAAAATAATAAAATATTAATTTATTTATTGAACTGGTTGCTTCGAGATGCGTATAATTTTTAAAAAGAGGAGTACCGGAGCAGTTTTTTTTAAATGCCTGGAGCTCTCTCTTTCACTTACGTGGAAAAGAGAGTTTTAAACAAAAATACAAGCCCTGGCGGCATGGCACAGTAGACTGGGCTCCGAATATGACCCGTCATTGTCAAACTGTATTTCGTGACTCCTTTCTAAGGAACATACAGGCTATAACTGAAACTGAACGTGAAGTGTTGGGGAACTATAACGGTGCCATCTTTTCTTGTTTAGACACATAACTGAAACTGAATGTGAAGTGTTGGGGAACTGTAACCTACTCCCTCCGTCTCTAAAAAAGAGTCATTTTAGGAATCATGTTGGTCAAACTTTCTTAAATTTGACTAGGTTTGTAGAAAATGCGTTCAACATTCATATCTCCAAATAAGTTTATTTTGAAAGTATATTTAACAATCTATCTAATGATACTAATTATGTACGATAAATATTAATATTTTGTTAAATATATTTGGTCAAAGTTAAAAGTTGTTGACTTTTTGGAAAGCGAGAATGACTCTTTTTCAGGGCAGAGGGAGTATTTATTAGTATTTGTGATGTGTATCCCTTTTTTTGCATTTTTTAAGGTCAATTGCATCAGAAGTTTCATTAAAGTTTTATCAAAGTTTCATCTGCATTTAATAGGTTGTCACATATGCCTTTTATTGACATGACAATGTTTTTTAAAAAAGAAAGAAAGAAGAAGTGAGTTTTATTGAGATGAAACTTTCTTGATTTGGTTTTCAACTCTAGATTAATCACAAATGAAATGTCTATAAAACTAAAGAATGAAACTATGTATTATGGGAGATTGTTTCATCCATGTTTTATTGCATTTTATATTCTTGGAAATAACACTAAACTCTCCGCTGAGAATGACATAAGTGACGGTCTCATGCAATGTATCTAAAAAAATCTAAAACGTATAATTTAGAATGGAGGGAGTATGTACTGAAATAGTTGAAGATATGCTATAGATTCTCTCTACTCTTTTTCAGGAGTCAAAACACACTAGTACATAAAACAATTTAAATTTAATGATCTGTCTTTGAAAATCGATTAACAGAGCTCGCCTTCGTCATTGGTTTTCAGAAAACCAAGACCTATAACTCAACACTAACACTTTCGTACCACTACAACAACAAAAATCACTTGTGTGTGTGTGTGTGTGTGTGTATATATATATATATATATATATATATATATATAGGATTTGATATTTTTTTATAAATATTATGTAATCTTTTTTACAAATCTTTTTAAAAATCATTTGTACCACTAACACTTTCGTACCACATATGCGGCCGTGGAGACGAAACTCTACTGTGCCGCGGTGGGGCCGTGGACGACGGCGGCGGCAGGGTCAGGCGCTCCCGGAAGCGGAAAGCGTGACCGGTCGCGCGTTAACACGCTCCGTTGTAAAAATAAATACAGCCGGCCAAAAGTTGTATGATTAGCCTTTCTAACTATAATCCTTATTCCTTAAAGACTATTGAACCCTAGTACCCTACGAATAGGGAGAGACCAGAGATATTGACTGACCGGTGGACATTGCCGTCTCGGCAGCCTGGGCGTTGAAGAAAGGCGCCACCTCGAACCGGATGTAGCAGCTCCAGTTGAAGAGCCGACCGCCCTGTCTCCCGCTGCAGTTTTTGTACGTCTGAATCTTACTGACGGCGTTGGTGGCGAGGCAGCCCTCGCAGTCGTCGGGCCCAAGGTCCCGCGTGCACTGCACCATGCCGTAAATCTTCTCGTAGTCCGCGAGGTCGACCGAGCCAGCCGCGAACAGACGCGGGGAGCCGTACGCCTTCTCAGCGAGGCTGCGCATCAGCCCGTCCAGCGACGACGCGAACTGAGGCTGCGTCGCGTTGTCGAGGTCACACATGTAGAGCGGATTCGACGTGTCGGCCTCGCCGAAGAAGCTCGCGTTGGAGTAGCGCAGCAGGCAGCCTTCGTAGATGAGCACGGCGCTCTTCCGGCCAGGGCACCTGCTGGCCACCTCACGCGCCGAGTTGACGAGGCACGCGCGGCAGCGCTCCGCGCTGATGTCCCCGCGGCACTGCGCGAGGCCGTAAACCTGGTCGGGCGCGGCGCCGCCGGTGATGTTCTTGGCGAACCCAGAGGACGACGCGGCCGCCGCGGCAGGGAGAGAGGAGAGGATCGCATCGAGGTTGGCCTGGAACGCGCTGCCGCGCGTGTAGTTCGTGCTGTCCAGGCAGTCGGCTTTCATGTAGAACGTAAGGTTGTCGGCGTTGGTTGTTGCGGTGAGGAGCAGGACGGATGACGACGCACAGATGAGAACGAGCGGAAGGAGGCTGCGCTGCCTGCGCATGGCTGGAGGCTCGTGGTGGTGGAAGGAGGCGGCTGCTGCTGCACTGGCTCTGCAGTGTTGATGCTAGTTTAAAGAGAATGCATACGCTGGATGGTCAGTACAATTGTTTTTCTTCCTTTTGCTTGTGAAGCTCTTGACCAAGCAACAAGAAGACTTCTGGTTCACCCGTCCAACGTCTAAAATAAAATTAATATATTCTATCTATAATGCCAAATAGGATTCGGGTTTTTGTTTGAACATGTGATATGTTTTATCGCATACACACTACCGGAATCCTTAAATTTACCGAGTGTTTTTATGTTTGCCGAGTATATTTCCTCGGACACTCGACGAACAAATTATTTATCGAGTGCTGCAATAAAAACACTCGACAAAGATGAGGTTGACGGCTGCTGTGGGTGCTCGTGGCTAGTGTATTCCCTCGGGCACTACCAGCGCTAAGTGCTCAGGCACCAAGCGAGCTCACTTGAGTGGTGTTTGTTGTGGGTGCTCGTGGCTGGTGCTGGCGGCTGTGGGCTTCGTGGCGTGGCGGTGGGAGGCAAAGGTGGCGGCGGCCGGCTTGTTTTTTTTTATTTTTTTCGAAAAAAAAGTTTGCCGAGTGTTTTTTTTTTTTTGCACTTGGCAACGTCTTTGCCGAGTGCGCGACAAAAAACACTCGGCAAACTAGCGTTTACTGTTAAAACATTTACCGAGTGTCGTTTGCCGAGTGTTGCCGAATGTTTTTGGGGCTTCGCCGAGTGTCCCTGGCACTCGGCAAATCTCCTGTATCCGGTAGTGACATCAAGAAAAAAGTTCAGAGCATCTCTAATGATCTTTCTTCAACCGTTTTCTAAATCTTTATTGGAAAAATCATTATAATAAAATCGCTCTTTATATCTCTCCATCCAACAATAACTTTTATTTATAATAAAATCACTTCACTCTGTCTTTGACAAGCAAGAAACCAGAAACAAATAATGGAAATATTTGGATATCAATTGAAGAAGTTGTTAAGTAAAAAAATCATCAAGATTTCTATTGCTAGGATATAAAGAGACTTTTGGAGTTGTTCTTAAACAAATAAACTAGGGAAAATAGGGCGATAAAGAATATCTACACGAATGTGCATGAGCTATCAGTCAATTTTCGCATTTGCTTCAAGAGGATACTTGACTTGTTAAGTTGTTATTTGATCTTGTCGAAAAAAGTCCGGCGAACTCTTACTGTTAGTTTTTTTTTTCAAATGCCAAAGCTTACATGAATTTGTGTAAAGCCAGTAACTTAATTAAATCCTATATATGTAGGCGGAGGCTGTCATTCAAGTAGCTATTGAGACATATTTCATGAAATTTAACAAAAACCAGTTTGATGCTATCGATTTCAGTGCATTTTTCTATAAGCTTTCTTAAAGTTTGACCCGAGATAGTACAACTTAAGTGATCTTTTATCTGAAAAGAGAGGGAGTAGTGCATCAAAACCGTTGACAAATATTAACAATCATATCGTCCATGTTATGAACATGCCATGGCTGCTTCTCCGGTTATTTTCATTGGTTTGACAGTCCTTGTATGCCATCTTATATATGGATCATTATATTCTTTAATTAGACATTACCAAGAAGACACATGTGGCTAATCGGCCATCACAGCCGTTGAAAAAGTGTTGTTAGATATGATTATATATCGGAAAGGCCAAAGTAATTGGTATCTTTTATTTAGGCCCTGTTCGCTTGAACTTATTAGCCTGCCTTATCAGACATGGTACAGTATTTTTCTCTCACAACAAATCAGCGAACAGTACTTTACAATGCACGGGATGTCTATTCATGATCATTTTTGGGCAAGGTTCACCATAAAAGCCGGGAGAATTTTTTTCGAATAACTGGGAGACATGTGTTGATAGAAATAGAAAGAACAAAAGAAAATGACACTTTAGTAGTTTGGGCCCATCTGTATTGTTGACGTAATTAATTGGGCCGGCCAGTTTACTCTAGTTTCAATGGAATGTACTATTTGGTATTAAATGATGATTAGGATTAGGAAAGTGTAATCATCAAATCATGCATTGACTTAAGCCGGGCGGCTAGGCTTAGATTGACTATTTACTTTTATCATAAATATAAGTTTATTAGATTTGTCCTAAGTCATATCTTTTAAATTTAACCATCAATATACAAAATTTTATATAGACTAGCAATACAAGATCAGTGTTACTAGATTAAAAAAAATACTTTTATAATTTTTTTAGATTAACACAACTGTTCATATAACACTCACACCACTTAACCCTATAAATACGCAAATGCAAACTCTAGCCCTACGAGCATCTCCAAAAGATTATGTACGTAAAAAGTCACCATAGCTGCGTCGGCGTGTCACTATCGAGTTGCACATCGCCATCATATAATAAATCTAGAAAAATACAAGCACATGTGCCAAGTCAAAGACTTAACCAACACTCAATTCGCAATACTTATATAATAGATAACTACTTTAAAATAGTATACTTTTATGGATATTACTAGTTAAAGTAAAAAAACGAGCATGAACTTAGATGGACATATATTTGTGATGTGAGGAAGTAGATAACTCGCATGACTAGTCGGATAATGATTAGGCTTCATCCTTGTTTATTAAATGCAAGTGGTTTGTCGCTGGTCAAGCATGGGCTAGATTATGGTTCGATCTGTCTGGTTAAGAACTTGATGCGAGGTTTATTGCTGTTTTCAGCCAGTTAATCTTACCGGAAATGATTTTTATAATATTTGTTTTACAAGAACAGCTTTGGTTGCTTGGAGGTGAATCGGCGGCCGATTTTTTTTTTTGGGTTTTTTAAAAAATATTCACAAATAAACCTCTGGAGGGTATCCTTTTGTTTTCTAAACCCTGGGCTCGGTGCCGAGGTCGAAGGCCGGCGTCGGCGTGGCGTCCTGCGTGGTGGTTTGCGTGGCATGACATGACACTAGGTTCGACGCTATAGATCTTGATGCCGAGCTTGGCGCTATGGTCTTCTGACAAGTGGGGGCCTTTTTATTTCCTTTCTCAGTTCTCTCTCCCATTCTTTCTCTCTCGCTGTGGCCGAATGCCTCTCCGCCTCCGACCATGCAGTCCCAGGCCTCCCACCTCGGTGGCAAAGCAAATGGCGCAAAGACATGTAATCTCAGCACCAATTGTTATGGCACTGAGCCCAGGGTCTAGAAAATTAAAGGATACGTCTAGGGGTCTATATGTAATTATTTTTCAAAAAAGGGCCAAAAAATTAAACAAATCGAATCAGCGATGGGTCAACATCCATTGCTAGGTCGCATGTGTATGGAGAGGGTACTTCATCTAGGGCAGAGTCGGCCTAGGGGTGGAGACATATACTACTACTACTACATATTAATCAAAAAAATTTAGTCTGACTAAATTTCTTGAATTTTAATCAAATTTAAAGTAGCACTGAGTATCAAATTAATTGTATTATTAAATCTACCATGGAATATCTCTAGCTAGCACATTTATTGGTATAACAAATTTTAGAATAATGGTATAAATCTTGATCAAAGTCAAAGAAAATTAACATAAGACAATAAATTTTATAAAAAGGAATAATGCTAACGATCAACAATTTAAGTTAGTATCTTTTGATCAAAAACCAAATGCATTTATTTTCTTTCGCTCTACTTTGCACCCCATTATGAGCATATACACTAGAAAATGATATAATTTCCAAGTAATTAGAGTCTAGATTAAAATAGGAAATACAAATTATACACCTTTGATGGAGTTTATTAGAGAGATGTCTGATTTTGAAGTTCAGACTACAACGAAGGAGGGTTTTTTTTATCAAAAAAGGAGTTTTTTTATAGTTTTTTAGGGGAAGGAGGTTTTTTTTAGTTTTTTTAGCAAAAGGAGTTTTTTTTTAGTTTTTTTGAGGTTTTTTTAGTGGAACAACGAAGGATGTAAAACCAACCTTTTCTCTTTCTTTTCACCATCGGGAGGCCATGGCCCACTAGCCCAGCCCATTGTGTATGTCCTGGATTCGGGATTCCTGATGGGCACACGTATCTTTAGCAGACGGAGATCAAGGGGCCCAATCAAATGGGATTCGCCCCTATTTCTGCAATCTGGAGATTAAGCTTCGCGTGTCAACTGTCACCCCGAGGGCCGAGGCTCACCGGCCTGGCGGCGGCGGCGCTGCGCTGCCCGCGCACCAAGCACACAACCACCGTCTTCCCTACAGAAGACCAACCACGCCCCCGCGGTGCGGCGATGCCCAGCCAACACCTCGCGCAACTACGCCATACCATAGTCGCCGCCGCCATAAATTGGAGCCCAGGGAGGATAAGAGAGGAAGAAGCGCGGGCGAGTCTGCAATGCTCCTTTCGCTTCGGAGACGGTGAGCTTGTTCGTTTTTTTCTCGCTTATCGCGGATTCGCCGCATGTTGATTCGTAAGGAGACCCGCAATCTCCATGGCATTCCTCCACCCGTACGACGCATTACTTTTTGGCGCTACTGATTGCTCTCCGCCGTTCTCTAGGCTGCGTACTAGCATTTGCATCAGGGATGGTGACGATTAGTCGACCACCTTTGCTTTCTCTCTCCAGATTCTACCAGATTCTAGATGGAAATTAGCATCCCATTGGAGTTAAATAGAATAGTTATTAAAAAAAACTTTGCACTTGTACTATAAATTTTACAATTAGAAGTGTTCATTCCTATCATGAGAGGTAACATTGAATTTTACCCGAAAAAATATCTGTTTAGCTCTTGAAAGTTGCAATGACACATTTGACTAGTCGAGTACCAAGAGGCATTACTTTGTGAAAGGATAGTGGTCACAGTTCATGGGGCAGAAGAAGAGAAAGTAGATGGAAATTTGAGGATAAGTGTACCTTCCACCCTATAACTTCTGCTTGCCTCCAAATTTGCTCTCAGTTTTGCAATACAAATGTTCAGGCTAGCCTTACAAGCACCATAAAATTCCTCAAAAAGCAAAAGAAAAGAACAAAAAAAAAAGAGAGTAGGCGATCCACGATATAACATTTGACATGTTGGTACTATCAGAGGCACAGGTTCCTCATGATTGGAATGTGGTTACACAGAAGAAATTAACTGACATTGCTACTTGCCAGTATTCTTGTTTTCATGTTGTCTAGTGAAAATACCTTATTTTCTTGAGAAGTATTGATTGAACCATCTAGTCGTAGATTCATACATTTGGATACTGCAATCAGATGGTGGATGGAACCTATAAGGTATAATGCTCTTGAAGCAAGATTCATAATTCAAATGAAGATCTGTAAATGAAGAAAAGAAGTATATAAATGAGAATTCCGAATCATTGTTTATGCAGAACAGAATTGCAGATCTTACATATTCGACATCAAGCTGCCCTAAATTCAATAATGAAGTAAGAGATACTGTTATCAACATTTTGATAAATATGTTAGTACCCTGGATACTTTATGTTGTAAACTTGTTGCTATGCATGCATGCATGGGAAACTTGCTCGTAACACAGTTAAAACCTCTTTTATTTTTGCCTGAGAAGATATGACTTGGCCATGGTTGGTGATCTGAAGTAAACTGTTGCCGACAGGCTTCAAACATTAAACATTAGGTTTTCACGATAGTAAAGGTAAACAGTGTTATCTTTTGTTTTTTCATTTTAGTTTGCTTGTTGTACTGTAAATGGCTGTCTCTAGTAGCATTATTCTAAGATATACTGCTACTTGTCAAACACAAAGGTTGAAATCTTGCATGCACTCATTGCAGCCGATTCTTGTGCAGGTTTGTATATTGGTTCTTTATGATTACCGCTTGACATATAAAGTGCACTCAAGCATAAGTATGCGCAGTGTACAAAATTGATGAAAAAAATGAGTATACAGCCATTTGCCAAGAATATTTTTGAGCTTGCTGTTATGTGTGTGAAACAGTAGCTGAAGATTCATCTAGTCCGTACCTCTGTTGTGTTGCTATGATGCATTTAGAATAATCTTCTTCTTATGCTCCAGTCGGTCATGGTACTATCATCTTCAATCTCTATGGTTGGTACATGAGCAATTTTAGGCCAATCTTCACCATCATTTTCTTTGCAGCTCTTTGTTAGCAGTGGGCATTCTTTGATGTACAATTCTTTCAGTGATTGTGGGAGGCCCTGTTCTGGCAAGCTTGGTATAAGAGGACAGTTCAAAATGGTCATAGCTGCCAAACAAGATGCTGCTTCTATACCAGGAGGCAAGAATCTTAGGTTGCTACAATGGAAGATCTCCAACTTTTTCAGAGTGGCAGGAAGCTTTACTGGAAAATAGTGAAGGCTGGCACAATCAGTTATGGCAAGATTTATCATTGAGGATATCTCATCAATCTCTCGAAGAAGAGGATTGATTAGGTTGGAGCACGAGCTGATGCGTAGATCTTCAAGCATGAAGGGCAGCAAACTATGCTGTTGGGATGGTTCCAGCTTCGGACAATCATAGATATGAATACTCTTAAGAGCAGTCAGTGCTCTGAATCCTTCAACTGGCAGGTGAGTTAATTCTGGGCAGCCTGTGATGGTTAATTGCTGGAGTGTTGATAATTTCTGGCAAAGCAATCCTTGCTCTAATGATGTAAGATTTGGGCACTGGTGAATCTGTAGGCATACCAATGATGATGAAACTTGAGAGCTTGGAGTATGTATTTCTGGAAGAATAGTGAACCCTGTTTCAGAAATTTTGAGCTTCACTACTGATGATGGGAAAGATGGGAATTCTTCTAGTAGTGGGCAGTCAATCACTGTAAGTTCTGTGAGCAATGGAAGCAACTGACCATCTTGTACAGAAGCCCAACCTTTTAGGTTAGACATGTCTTCAAATACGAGTTCCTTCAGTGATGGAAACCCCTTGACTTCACTGGTTCCTGAAAACTCTTGGTTGATGTGAACAATGGCATGGAGACCCCCAATATCTAAAAACTTGAGTAGGGGAAGTACTCCAAGCGCTGGTAGAACTGAACAGTTTGTACAGTCAGACAGGTGGATGGTTTGCAATTGAGTTAGTTTACTTAACCAATTTGGAAAGTATAAGCCTGCAAAGGCCTTGACTGTCAGTTCACTGAGTTCATGATGTGGTTGAAGGTGTTCAAGTATCTTTATGTCTTTATCTGCAGTTTTTGAAGTCAAGCGCCTCCTTTCAGACCATATAAGGTGTAAATTGTTGATGTTTGTCTTCTTCATTAGCAAAGCTTCATTAGCCTCTTCCACACTAGCCACACTCTCAAGATTCTTAATGCAGATATGTCCTGTGATCCCCTTCATGGCCTTCAATTCACTGATCTTGTATCCTTTGTCCTTACGGACAACAAATTCCTCCAGCTGTTGAAGGCAAGTCAAGTTCCCTATTCCAGCTATGCCAGTGATCAACTCCGTTCTTGCTTCTAGCCATCGAAGATTTCTGAGATTGGTTATGGTCTTTGGGAGGTAATCTAATGCAAGGCAGTTTTGCAGCTTCAGTGTTTGCAGGCTGAAGAGACTACCAATTGATGAAGGCAACATTGCTATTCCAGTGCCTGAAAGATTCAAATATCGAAGCAATTTTAAGTTACCAATAGAATCAGGCAGCTCAGTAATATCTCGTCGGTTTAGATCAAGCACATGAAGGTACTTCAACTTGAGGAACAGATCACTGGGTATAGAGCTTGTTATCGATTTGTATCCATTTAGTAGTAAAAGTGTGCGAGCTCTCTTAAATCCAAGGAAAGCTTCAAATTGGGTCCTGCCTCTGTTGTCACAAGAGAATGATAGATGCCTAGCACTTCTTTCAGGGCTGCTGCTGTGCGGGGGGTCATGCAGTCTTAGGCCTTCATCCAATCTTAGGAACTCATCAATTGAGACAGACTGTGCTAGGTCATGCATGGCATCATGCATTACATATCCACTTTTGTGATATTGGAAGAAGGATCTGCTTTGTAATTCATCAAAATAGCCACTCCCAATTTCTTCCATCTTCCTCCTTCCTTGAGGCTGAATGAACCCAAGGGCCATCCAGATTTGAACCAACCTTCTTTTCTCAAAGGCGTAATCTTTGGGAAACACTGAACAAAATGCAAAACATCGCTTTTAGTGTGGCTGGCAAATGGCTGTAACTCAATCTTAGAGCTGGCAATATGTTGTTCTTGTCTGATGGCAATTCCCCATATTTCACTCTTTAATATGTTCTTCCAATCTTCCTCTGCATCCCTGGTACATAGTAAACTGCCTACTGCTTTTGCAGCTAGTGGCAGGCCTTTCAACTTCTTCACGATGTCCTTGCCTATCATTTCCAATTCTGGGTGTGAACTGGAGTCACCATCTACAAATGCGTGTTTCTTGAACAACTGCCAGCAATCGTTGTTTGATAGCTGCTTTAGATGGTAAGGAGTCATCCCGCCCATTAGTATCCCCACATTTTTGTTTCGTGTGGTAATTATAATCTTGCTTCCCATTCCCCCGCTAACTAGAGCACAGCGATATCTGTCCCATTTTTCAGGATCCTCATTCCATACATCATCAAGGACTAGAAGAAATCTTTTACCTTGCAGTTTTTTTGAGAGGTCTTCTTGAAGCAGGTTCATGTTTGTTGTGGCTGATGAGAACCCACTAGCAACTGATTCAATTGTTTCCTTGGTAAGCTTCATCTCATCAAAATTTTCAGAAACACACAGCCACACCCTTAACTGGAAATGCTCCTTTACTCTTTCATCATTGTAGATGAGCTGTGTTAGAGTCGTCTTTCCTAGTCCCCCCATGCCCACTATGGGAATAATAGAAAGGTTGGCATGGCCCAAGTTATTGGGGGCCAGCAACATCTTCACAATGGTTTCTTTATCTTCTTCTCTTCCAAACACACTTGAGTCATCGATCAGTGAACTTGTTTTGGGCCTCTCCTTTATCTCCGGCTTGTCGGTCCCACTGTTCATGTTTGGACCAATAATCTGTCTTTCTTTGATAAGCCTATCGAGTTTCCCCTCAATCTTCCTTATTTGCTGCACTATCTTATGGTTAAATAAACAATTGTTCAACCAAAAACAGCAGAGACAGCTCCTAACCTTCTTCAGATGGTCATGGTTGAATGGACCTTCTAGTTTGGATCGCAGTGTCTCAGCTGCATACTCATCAATCAAGTCATCCATCTCATCTGCGACACCCTTGAGCTTGGCAAGCCAGCTGCGTGCAGCCGTATCCTTCAATTGCCGCTCCTCTGCATCTTCAACATGAAATTGAATTGTTGACAGGATGCTCGATAAGTTATGCAGTTCTTCAGTGACATCTCGAGGGAATCTCAGCTCTCCGATAGTAGCAGCAAGCACTTTCTCAAAGAGTGCCTGCATGAAGGCAGACAGTACAACCTCTCCAATCGGCATAGTGTTTTCTCCCCTTTTGGTTGTCTATTGTTTCCCTCCTAGCAATGCAAATGAGGAATGCGGTGAGGTGGTTGAGGCCTGAGGGCACACTGAGTTATTTCTGTACCATTGACCCCGTACCATTGACCCTGAAGTCGTTGCTCTTGCTACTTGTAGAATTTAATAACATATTTTCTGAAGAAATAAAAGTCTCTCTCTTTTTTTTTTGGTCATGCCATTGCAAGTCGGGCCAAATAGGTTCTGAAAGAACTGTTATCTGATTGGTGACGTCTGTATTATCACGACGTCTAGGCAAAGTTTATTTCATAAGAAGAAAAATTTCCATGTATTACATATGTTTCTTGAAAACAGTTTCTATAGCTTGTATAGTTCATCCGAGTTATCTGCTGTTTCACTACTGGAATTGTTTATTAAGCATGGCAACCCTGATGTCTTCTGCAGTGCAGGCAAGGGGATAAGTTGCCAATTCCTTGCTCACGTATAACCGTGCTTCTGGAAACGAAGTGAAGGAATCAATCCTGCGCAACTTCCAGGAAAGGCCAGTGAAGGGCACATATTGGACTATATTTCCTTCCAGTGCCTCTCTAGTCAACGGTGTTTGGCCGATGCTGGATAGAAAATCTTGAAAAGGAGCTCCGTGGACAGGTGCACACCACTTAGCATCATTGACTGGACAATCAGGTGCACACAAGTCTCAGCTCAGTAGATTAACATATCTGCTAGATTACTGTATTAAGGTCCGTGCTTCCTTATGCTTGCTTGGCGTGCTTCATGTTTCACACCAGCGAGTCCCCTAAGCTTTTCGCGAAGCGTCAAAAAACAGAAGCCAAGTCGCTGTTTCTGCTGTTCTTGAAGAGTTTAGGTCAGTCTGTCGTTTTCGACATGTGGTTTCTTCTTTTGTTCTCCGAGCTTTCTAACAAGTAACAACGGACGAGTTCAGGCATTCTTTTGACGATAATATGCAGCTGCTCGTTTATTAATCATAGTGGATTTAATGCAACTAATCTGGTGCTGCAAATGTTGCTACTTTGTTCAATAAACTTTGACAATTCCAAAAACATATAATAATAAGCATTAAAAACTTCCATGTCTTTGGCTGTTAAATCTGTTCATATTATGGGTTTTTTAAACGTACAACTGTCAATATAGCAGTGCAATTATCATCAACAAAAATATTTTTAAAAAAATATTTTTTAACTTAAATATTACATAAATACATCGGATCTCTTACATATTACATGGAAGAGTATATAGTACAGTACATCAACGCCCGTAGGCCTGTACTATAACTTAACCTAGCGGGCTTCAGGCCCGCACCTCCGCCTAGTGCGGAGGCGAAGCAGCAAGCCCACAGGCCACTTTTTAAACTCGTCGCCCAGTGCTAGGCAAACGATGTGGGACAAAACTTTCGGCCCAGGGCATGCAGGCTAAACGGAAGCGCCTCGCTTGGAGGGTGTGGGGTAAAAAAGAAGAAGGAAAAAAATAATACAGAGAAGACCCAATCGTGGTTTGGTGGGCCCTGGCCTAGCTATTAAGACCCAATCGCACCAAACCCCTCCGGAGTTTCTTATCCCCCCCTCATCTGCTCCACCTCCGACCTCGCGCGAGACGAGCAAGCCCAACACAAGCATGGCCGGAGCAGCAGCAGCCGCCGCCGCCGTGGCGTCCGGGATCTCGTCCCGGCCGACCGCGCCGAGGAGGGCCTCGACGGGGCGCCGCGCTCGGCTGTCGGTGGTGCGGGCCGCGATATCCCTCGAGAAGGGCGAGAAGGCGTACACGGTGCAGAAGTCCGAGGAGATCTTCAACGCCGCCAAGGTACCCGTCCTCTCTGATTCCTTCGCTCTGCGGCTCCTTTAATGCCGTCCGCCATGGTTCCCCTTCGTTTCGGGGAGCCTCGTGGCTTTTGAGGTGTGAATTCGGAAGAAGAGACGTCGCTTGCGGCCAGCTGGGGAATGCCTTGTTTGTGGTTGTCGTGGAAATTGTGGCAAATCGGTTCGCTTTTCTCTTTCTGTATTTCCGCGAATGGGTTGGTGGTAACGCAATAAGAGGTGGATTGTCAAAGATGGCTTGGAAAATGGAAACCGGGGGCTGGGAGAGGGTCTGGAATGGGGCCGACATTGTGAGCTAGTAAGGTCAACTACGTTCTTGGACCCAATTGACACATGAGACAGCCATGCAAATGAAGGCAATCCTCGCTGTAAGCAATCCTACTGAGATAGGATTACCTAGGTGCAGCAAGCATTACTTTTGATGTGACAAACCGGTCAAATACCATACTTTTATGCAGTTAGTAGCCATTTCTTTGTGAGTCATGCTTTAGTCCTGGATCTGTAGCTGTAAACTGCATAAAATGTGACTTGTGAGTACAACCCTGATTGTATATATATAAAAATATCATGAAATGGTGGGGACTATCATCACCATGACCAGTGTTAGGATCTTTCACCATTTTGAGATCTCAGTCAGCTTGCCATCATTTTTTTTCCAATGATTCTGGATGTTTTATTAACTGATTGTTCCACTGTTTCTCAGGAGTTGATGCCTGGAGGTGTTAATTCACCAGTCCGTGCCTTCAAATCTGTTGGTGGGCAGCCTGTAGTGTTCGACTCTGTAAAGGGTTCTCGTATGTGGGATGTTGATGGGAACGAGTACATCGATTATGTTGGTTCCTGGGGTCCTGCAATCATTGGTCATGCAGATGATAAGGTACAGAATTGATTATGTTGGTTTCTCTGGCCAATATGTGTTATGTGAATATGAAGTATTTCAGCGAAATCTTTTGTTTGTTAATCTCTGGGCTTGCTTCTTGTTTCCTATCCCATAGTGTTCTTTTATGATAGTTGATAGAGTAGCTTACTTCTATTTCCTATAATACTTAATTGAATTAATTCGACTAATCTCTATCCCATTTGTGAATCTACTAAAATTTCTGAACCTCTGTGTATCATAAAATTTTCTTGGTCTGATATTTGTCAACTTATAGGTGATTTTTTAACCACTATTGAATATTGGAAAAAAAAAGATACTATACTTGATTCGGCAACATTTGGCTTATGAAGCTGTCTTGAGAATGGACAAAGCTATTTTAAATCACCGTACTTATAGCTTGTTTGATTTAGGTGAATGCTGCATTGATTGAAACTCTGAAGAAAGGAACTAGCTTTGGTGCTCCATGTTTGCTGGAGAATGTATTGGCTGAGATGGTCATCTCTGCTGTACCAAGTATCGAAATGGTCCGCTTTGTCAATTCAGGGACAGAAGCCTGCATGGGAGCACTCCGCCTTGTGCGTGCATTCACTGGGCGGGAGAAGATTGTCAAGTTCGAAGGCTGCTACCATGGCCATGCTGATTCCTTCCTTGTCAAAGCTGGCAGTGGTGTTGCCACCCTTGGCCTCCCAGACTCTCCTGGTGTCCCCAAGGGAGCCACCTATGAGACTCTAACAGCACCCTACAATGATGCTGAGGCAGTGAAGAAATTGTTCGAGGAGAACAAAGGGGAGATTGCTGCTGTCTTCCTCGAGCCAGTTGTTGGCAATGCTGGTTTTATTCCCCCACAACCTGGTTTCCTCAGTGCCCTCCGTGACTTGACCAAACAGGATGGTGCACTCCTGGTCTTTGATGAAGTGATGACCGGTTTCCGCCTGGCGTACGGTGGAGCTCAAGAGTACTTCGGGATCACCCCTGACGTGACAACTTTGGGTAAGATTATTGGGGGTGGCCTCCCTGTTGGTGCCTATGGTGGGAGAAGGGATATCATGGAGATGGTTGCCCCAGCAGGACCAATGTACCAGGCAGGAACTCTCAGTGGAAACCCTCTAGCCATGACTGCTGGAATCCACACGCTCAAGCGTCTGACAGAGCCCGGCACCTATGAGTACTTGGACAAGATCACTGGCGAACTCATTCGTGGGATATTGGATGTGGGTGCGAAAACGGGGCACGAGATGTGCGGCGGGCACATCAGAGGAATGTTTGGCTTTTTCTTCACTGGTGGACCCGTCCACAACTTCGGTGACGCCAAGAAGAGCGACACTGAGAAGTTTGGAAGGTTCTACCGTGGCATGCTGGAAGAGGGTGTGTACCTGGCTCCCTCGCAGTTTGAGGCGGGTTTCACCAGCTTGGCGCACACCTCCCAGGACATCGAGAAGACCATCAAGGCTGCTGAGAAGGTTCTGAAGCGGATATAGGGGTTCTGCTACGAAGTATGCAGAGAGCATTTCCTCCTATTTACCTTCTTGTACTCTTAGTTCTATATGTCACTGAGGTTTTGTATTGTGCAGCAGCAGGACAGCTTTTGTAGCTCCCTCTTTCTGAATTAGTGCGTATTGTTTTTGCAGTGGCAATAAATCTCTGGTCCACGATTACAGTTGTTATACTGATGTTCAGATACAGGATTGTTTTCATCCTTGTGCTCAGATGTGTTTGTTGGGTGGGGTATATGCAATAATGGAAGGAGCAAAGCAGAGCGAGCATGCTGTTTAGATTTCTTCAGGACTTGGAATTTCCCAGTCTACCCCCAAATCCATGTGTATTCAGGCACAGAGCAACCAAAACTGTGCCCACCAAGACATCACCAATTCCTTCATTAGACCCATTTTGACCAAGACATCACCAATTCCTTCATTAGACCCATTTTGATGCAAACTACTGTCCACAAAGATCCCATTTTACATTCTTGGTACACGAGGGCAAGAGATGAGTAAATTCCTGTTCACAAGCACAAATTTATTGACCCACCCAGCCCCAACCCACCACCGGTGATGAACAATTGGTGAGCCAACTGAATTCATTCCCGTGGTCGTGCAATCCAGAGAGAACTCAGAGCGCGTAACCTGGAAAGATAGTCACTGATTGCAAGCAGTGCTCGTGCAGATTGGCGGGTGGTCAGTATTCGCTGCATCTGTTCAAGAATCTGCCTTCGCAGATCGTCAGCCTGCAAATATGAGATTTTAAAAAGCAGAAAAAAAACAGCGTTGGTTCTGCAAATTTACCAGTTACAACACATCAATCAACGTGAAACAGCATATAACCAAGGGCCAAGTTCCATGGTCTGCAGAATGTGTTGTGTACCTCCTGTAGGAAGCTTTCTAGAGTGCCAAGCTTCCCAACTGCCGCTGCTATCTGCCATCTGCCCCGAGCAATCTGCAACGTTACCAGAAGAACCAGCAGGATACAGGGATCCTGATGCAAGGGTTTCTGCGACCGACTGTTGCAGTGCTCTCACCCCCTGCGAAAGGTCCTCTTCAGCTTGTTGCGAGGACTGTTGCAGGCTGTATATACTTGCAAGCTGCTGTTCAGTAAGGGGTTCCAGATGACTTGCAAGCAACTGCGTAAAAAGAAACCGGAAAAATCTTTCAGCTTTGACAGAAGTACACTGATGCAATAGGAACAAGTGAGAGAGATCATAAACCTTTAGAAGCTCTGACGGTCGAAGTCCACCTAACCACATAAAACACCTCTCGACAGGGGTCTTCCACATTCCTGGCAGCACGTGGAAAGCATCTGCCTTGGCTGCTACACCCTTAAGCCTGAAAGCTTCGCGGTAATGTGCCATGATGCTGTCAATAATACGCCGGAGATCATCGTCACTAGCATGTGCATTGAGTGCAGCCCTCAGTTCATTTATCTGCTTACTGTGATCGTCTTGCCACCGAGCATAGTCCGTGTCAAATGCCAAAGCACCTAGAAATACGGATAACAGTTTAGTTCAGGATACTGTCCAGTGTGATCTAAACATTTGACACACGAAAAAACAGTAAATTACCATTTTCACTAGAAGAATGAGGCTGGTCTCCTGGAGTAGGAATAAAAATGCCCTGAACAAGTAGCAAAATGTTGAAAAAACAGGTTGTTCAACAAGAACTGCAGATTTTGTCAAATCCAAAGATCAAAACATGAGTACATGATGACCATACCTGTTGGCGAGCACGCTGGAGCTCCTGTTCCAGCTGGCTAAGTTTCAGCCTGCTGTTCTCAAGTTGCTTGACATATGCCTAAGGATGAAGAAATGGGTAAGTATTATAATTTCAGAGCTGTCCTCATGCAAAAGGAAAATACTATCCACCATAAGTTAGATGAAACTACCTTCTTTCTTAGACGGCTTTTCCTAGCAGCTTCACGGTTTTGGGCCAGACGGCGGAGTGCCTACCATTAAGTCAGTAAAAAGAGAAGTCTGTAGCAACGGAATCATCAGATGATCGCTTCAGTGAATGTGCAGAATTTTAATACCTTTTGACCTAGCTTATCCTTTGATTTGTTGCCAGAATCAGAAGCTGTAAAGGGATACAAGCTGCCCTAGTTCCAACTGATAAGTAAACAAGCTCAGTATATATCAAGAATACAAGTAACGTTACTTGGAAGCAAACTAATTGCTTCGGTTGACACGAGAATATCATCAGAATGGATAAACAACCATTAGTGTGTTTTTTAATTTATGATCGATACATTAAAGTTTTAAAAGACATAATTATCACAATATTTTCAAGTTCTACTCATGTCAAAGTTATGGTATGTCTAGATTTCTTTTTAAATAACATCCACATTAGTAATACACCGAGCATCTACAAAAAATTTCAAAACAGAAAAGTACCATTTGATTCTTCTCGTCAGTATCGAGTTCTGTTGACGTATCAGTCCCGGGGCTCGCATAAGCCATCTCAGACTCTTCCCAGTTCTCAGTGTCTCCTGTTGTTCAGAACTTAAGCTACCAGATTTGGTCGTTCTTCTCTTAGCTGTACTTCTGATGGAAGTTCAACTTTAGGTGCTGCAGCCTGCAGCACTTCCAAAATACAAAGCATAGAATGAATGGGAGACAAATCTGTAAATTTGAACCATATAAAAGATTATGAAGTCATTTTTATCTTATAAAACTGGGAACATCACCGACTCAACAGATATGATCAGAATATAACAGGCACACCTTACTCTAACTAGCAAGCTGAAGGGGATTAATTGGCTGGATTCAACAAGGACCCTGAACTGAAGAGAACATAACGCCAACCAAGCTGCACATTCCAGCTTCAGCAAAGGAACAGATAAATAACGAATAGGCACAGCCAAAACTGAAGCTACTTGTTCAGCACAATTGTTCAGAAACCAGATTGCATGAGCAATCCGAGAATTTAGCAACATACCTGTGGTTGGGGTGGTGATGTCTTCCAAACGAATCTTGCAGACTGCTCAATGCCAGAAACCCGAGCAAGTTGGATGCTTTTGGCAAATGTGCAGTGCAGGTGCAGCTGAAAGTTGTAACTTCTGAAGCCTCTGTACATATGGTATATATGTGCAGCATTGTAGAACAGAACATATATTCCCCAGTCGTCCCCAGTCATATCTCTAGCTAGGCTTGCCATACGTGTCGTACGTCCAACACGCATTCAGTAACCCACCATGAATGCGATCTATCACAGAAATGTGTAGACGGTGGCAAAACTTCTTTCCTCTCCACAAGGAGCGCGTTGCAGGCTTCTGTGAACAAGTATGTCCACACTCCACACCATAGCGTAGTGGCGTAGCTGCATGTGCCTCTGAACTTTTCAGTCTATCTAGTCATTAATTGGGGGCTAAACGAAACTGAGTGAATTGGGCAGCAACCAAGCCAGAGCAGAGCTTGCTGAATCTGATGCAAACTGATGAGAATCTTGAGAAATCTATCCACAAAAGTTTGCAAAGGCTGCAGCCTGATTGAGAAAGTGTTGACGCTTGCAAAGTCCACGTCCACTTCACACGCCAAACTCAGCTACTCAAGCTATCAAGATTCAAGCGCCAGGCATTGGCAATGGACGGATAGATACAACGGAGCATCGCGCACTGGCACGGTGCTCCTAGTAGCTGAGCACCGTGCGCGCGGCGTGATGTGGGCCACGCGCGTGACGGCAACGGCAAGCTCGGCGTGGGCACACGGAAGCTTCTGTTGTTTCTCTGTGTTGGGCAAAAAGAAGGCAACCGAAGGCAAAGCAAGCAGCCGTTACCTTCCCGCCATTCCCTCCCAGCCTTCCCTTTGATGGCCAGCCCATCCACCCCTCCGAGAAAGGTTCCCCCGCGCACCCCACCGCCCACCCGGACATCTCTCCCCGGGTTTGCTGTGCCTGCGCGTCCGCGTCCCGGCGCGCGAGGCCCCCCGTGTCGCCGTCGTCCCCATTGCCGACGACATGGGCAACTGCTGCTGCCCGGGGTCGTCGTCCGCGGAGCCCGCGCTGCCGCCGGGCTCCTTCGCCGGCTCGTCACGCCCCGTGGGCAGCGCCACCGTGCCCCCGCCGACCTCGGTGTCGTCGTCGGCGACCACGGCGCCCACGCCAAACAAGCCCCCGGCCCCCATCGGCCCCGTGCTGGGCCGCCCCATGGAGGACGTCAAGAGCACCTACACCATGGGCAAGGAGCTCGGGCGCGGGCAGTTCGGCGTCACGTCGCTGTGCACGCACAAGGCCACGGGCCAGAAGTTCGCGTGCAAGACCATCAGCAAGCGGAAGCTGTCCACCAAGGAGGACATCGAGGACGTGCGGCGCGAGGTGCAGATCATGTACCACCTCTCCGGCCAGCCCGGCGTCGTGGAGCTCAAGGGCGCCTACGAGGACAAGAGCAACGTGCACCTCGTCATGGAGCTCTGCGCCGGCGGGGAGCTCTTCGACCGGATCATCGCCAAGGGCCACTACACCGAGCGCGCCGCCGCCTCGCTGCTCCGCACCATCGTCGAGATCGTGCACACCTGCCACTCCATGGGCGTCATCCACCGCGACCTCAAGCCCGAGAACTTCCTCCTCCTCAGCAAGGACGAGAACGCGCCGCTCAAGGCCACCGACTTTGGACTCTCCGTCTTCTTCAAAGAAGGGAGGTGTTCAGGGACATCGTCGGCAGCGCCTACTACATCGCGCCGGAGGTGCTGAAGCGGAGCTACGGGCCCGAGGCCGACATATGGAGCGTCGGCGTCATCGTCTACATCCTGCTCTCCGGCGTTCCGCCATTCTGGGCAGGCAAGCTACTATCTCTTACTTCATCAATCAACGTAAGCAAGCAGATGGTTCATGATCTCGGTCGCATTGCCTCAACAATCGTGACGCCGACGATGCAGAATCGGAGCACGGCATCTTCAACGCCATCCTGAGAGGGCAGGTCGACTTCACCAGCGACCCGTGGCCGCGCATCTCGCAGGGCGCCAAGGACCTTGTCAGGAAGATGCTCAATCCTGACCCCAAGCAGCGGATTTCTGCATACGACGTCCTCAGTAAGTGTCTTGCCTTGCTTATTTTTCCTGAACATCAAAAACAGTAGTAGCATACTACGAGTAGTAAATACTGAAATGGTGCCTGTGGTGTTCGTTCAGATCACCCGTGGATCAAAGAAGACGGCGAGGCGCCTGATACGCCGCTGGACAACGCCGTTCTCGGCCGGCTCAAGCAGTTCAGAGCTATGAACCAGTTCAAGAAGGCTGCTCTGAGGGTTATCGCGGGATGCCTGTCGGAGGAGGAAATAAAGGGGCTCAAGGAGATGTTCAAGAGCATGGACTCCGACAACAGCGGCACGATAACCGTGGACGAGCTGCGGCGAGGGCTGGCCAAGAAGGGCACCAAGCTCACCGAGGCCGAAGTCCAGCAGCTCATGGAAGCTGTAAGATCAAATTGAAGCAGCCTGGACTGAAAAAAAATAACAAATGCACCGTGAAATGTATGTATTCAGTATCTCCGGACCTGAAAAATAAAACAATCGCAGGCCGACGCCGACGGGAACGGGACGATCGACTACGAGGAGTTCATCACGGCGACGATGCACATGAACAGAATGGACCGGGACGAGCACCTCTACACCGCGTTCCAGTACTTCGACAAGGACAACAGCGGGTAACTTTTTTTGGTTTTCTGAATCCTGATGCGACGCCGTTGCTGTGTGCAGCGCCATTGTCGAGTGTTCGGACGCTCATGCTGCCATCCTGCCCTGCCACACAGGTACATCACGATGGAAGAGCTGGAGCAAGCCCTGAGGGAGAAGGGGCTGCTCGACGGCCGAGACATCAAGGACATCGTAGCGGAAGTCGACGCCGACAACGTAACTGAGCTGCCGATCGATCGCGTGTTCCTTTGCAATGTCGCACGGCCGGCCTAGATGACATTTTGTTCATCAAATGTGTGTGATGCATGCATGCAGGACGGACGGATCAACTACACCGAGTTCGCGGCGATGATGAGGAAAGGGGACCCGGAGCCATCCAACCACAAGAAGCGGCGCGACGTCGTCCTGTAGAGGCCGGCCGGGGCGCGCATCACGGCGTGCGTGACGCCGGGGTGGAGCTCAGGAACAGATCGCACGGCTGCTGGCAGGAATCTTCATGGTGGCCCGCGGCATCTGCAAGGAGAAACAAACGCGTCCGTTCTATCTCTCCACATGTATAATGCACGACGTATCTATAGCGCGAATGCCCGCGATGGGAAGGGGGGAGTGAACGAGCATTATTGTGAAATGTCAATTGGGTGTCGATTGTTCTTGTGTGCATGTTGTTACTCAGATGTATAATAGACTGTTCATATTGCGCAAGACTCACCCACCGCGAGAATAAACAAGAGTTGATTTCTCGTACCGTGGCTCCCCTACCATACCACGTGGTTGTAGAAAGCAGCCTCGCTTCGCTTCATTTGAAAAAACAAAACAAAAAATTCGTTCCGAATTAATTTGTTATGAGAAAAAACAACATTTCACCTAAAAAATAAAGCTGAAAAGACGCATTATAAGAGAAAGCGAAAGCGGGGCCAGCGTATCAAGCAGGGTCGTCATCTGCTATGGTCCAATTCTCGATTGCCGACCGCAAGAATCATGCCAAACTTTTCCTAGCGTCAACAAATCTCTTGACCGCGCAAGCGAGCGGGTCCGTAATAATGAATTGTGCGGCTACCACACTGAGCGACCCAAACTACATTCCTAGGGCATATATGCACTAGGAGGTGGAAACCGTGGGCCTGTTCGGCTGGTATTAAAAGTTCAGCCGACTGATAAGCCGACTGAAACTGCTTTGTTGTGAGAGAAAAATACTGTCGGCTAATAAGTTCAAACGAACAGGCCCACGGGTGCTCTGTTCATACATACTCCTGGATGCTTGCCACGTGTACAGCCAGATGATCCAACGGCCTGAGTCCATGGGCCAGATGATGCTAGCCGAACAGTGGGAATTTTGGGTCTCCAGCGTGCTGCCGCCTCTTCCCTCAGAAAAAGAGAGAGAGAGAGAACGTGCTGCCGCCTCCATGGGCCAGGTGCCGGCGCGCGGTTGGATCATCTGACTGTACAGGTGGTAAGCATCCAGGGGTATGTATGCACAGGAGCACTATGGATACGGTTTCCAGAGAATTTTTTTCCTATGCACTAATACGCATTTATAGCTCACGATAACTAATCACATGTCAAGTCCAAGTACAGAAGTGGGCTTGCCAGTAAACGCGTCTAAGAGTAACCACAATGTTCAGAGAAAGTAGTCCATAGAGAATAAAAAAATAGGTACTAGGTAGCTGATACATTGTAGCAGTAGTCCATAGCAAAGAAATAACAAAAGTTACCCATTGCGCTATGGCCAGCCCACCAGAAAATAAAAAATGTTATTTTAACTGTTCATCTGATAGAGCACATTAAACATACAAGGAGCCGTTGGCTCAGGAAGCTAGCCGTTGGCCTCCTCTTCACGTGCCTGCTTGCTCCTCTACAAAACTGAAGGGCGTTGGCCTCATCTTCACTTGCCTGCTTGCTGCCTCTACGAACTCAAACTTGAAGCTTGTTGCTCAATTCTCAGCACCTGAGATCCACTCTAGAACACAACCTTCCAATAGAACCTTCCTCCAGATTTTTTTCAAACCTCAATCAGGACCAGTACTCATCAGAGGATAGTGGTCAGTTCTCACCTCCTACACCCCAATCTCAGTTCCCCTTTGGAACATCCAACTTTCTATAAAACTTCAATCCTTTTGATCCTCTGGGAATCCACCCACCATATGGACCATATGGACAATCTGCTCCCATATTTCAAGGTGTTCAACAACAAGGGAGTTGGCTTCAAGCACCTCCACCAGGCTTTCAAGGATTTCATCTCCATGAAAGTGTTGGTCCTTTGGATGCAACTACTAGGCAATAGGCCACCATTAGTGCTGCAATTCGCCCATCTTGGTGGAGCTGCAGCCAACACTTCTTCTCATGGATCCGAGTCAAGTTCTCGATGCTCTGCACAACAAGAGAAGCAATCAGTCAACATTGAAGAGTTAGGTGATAGCAGCGAAGAAGAACCAAAGAGGCGTCAACGCATCAATTGGAGTGAAGAAGAAAATGATAGGCTATTCAGTGCATGGACAAAACACTCCACTGATCCCGTAATCGGCAATGATAGGAAATTTGAGTACTATTGGAAAGTTGTAGCCGCTGAGTTCAACGACAACGCGCCAAATAATAGCCACAAGAGGTCAATCAAACAATTGAAGACACATTAGGGTGATGTCAAGAGGGATATCACAAAGTTCAGTGGAGCCTATGCTAAAGCTATGAATGCACGCAGCAGTGGGCAATCTGATGACATGGTGAAGAAAGCAGCCCATGAGTTTTTCAAGAATGGCAACAAGGGTAGGTCTTTTATATATGAGTACCTATGGGATGTGGCCAAGGAGATGCCCAAATGACGTAGAATCATCCAAAAGGAGAGCACACCAAAAAGGACCAAGCTATCTAACTCAGGAGCATACACTTCTTCGTCCAACCAAGACACAGAGGGGGAAACCATGAGTAGAGAGGTACGTCCCGAGGGGCAGAAGAAAGCGAAGGCAAGGCTGAAAGGGATAGGAAAATCTGCTGCGCCATCTCCTTTGAGCAGCCAACCAAGTCAAAATATGGTTATGTATCATGAAGCAATGTCAATGAAAGCAAAATCAGCAAGGGCTAAAAAGTATAACACCTATTTGAAACTACTAGAAATAGATACCTCAAACTTCAATGAAAAAGAAAAAAACATGCATGAGAGCATACTGGATCAGATTGCAAAAGACTTGCCTGAGGAGTAGAAAAGCAGCACGAGATGCATGTATCCCTAATATTTAGTGTAGTTGTTTTCAAATTTGGTCAGTGTATCTGTAAGCCTATGTATGTAAGCTTTAAGTTAATTAGTTTATGTATTAGGTTGCATGGCTGTACCCCTAATATTAGTGTAATTGTTAGTATTGGCAGTGCATTTGTAAGCTATTGATGGTTGTATCCCATTATTAATGAAACCAGCAGATGGATGTTGACAAAAAAACTTGCTGTTGTGGGTAAATGTAGCTGTTGAGAACAAAACAAACAAGAATATAGCTGTTGAGAACAAAACAAACAAGAATATAGCTGTTGAGAAAAAGACAAACAAGAATATAGATGTTGAGAAAAAGACAAACAAAAGCAGCATATGGCTGTTGCATACAAGTGGATATCAGCTACAAATACTGCACTCCCTCATTCACTAGACACCAGTCCACACCAAGTACAAATAATGTCAACTGACTCAAGTGATTCTACTGAGTCTAACCTTGAAGCACAGATTGAGTCTGAGCTTGAGCAGGAGATTGAAGCTGAGATTGAAGCAGAATCGCCTAGGTCCTCTATTCGACGTGGGGTTATACAAGGAGGTACATCAATGAGAGATCATGAAGGTGATCACAATAGACTAGTTGCTAAATATTTTTAGATAATCCCTTGTACAATGATGATCGGTGGCCAGTAGAAGATTTCGCATGAGGAAGCATTTATTTCTACGCATAGTCCAAGCTCTAGGTGTTTGGTCTCCATATTTTCGTCTACGTCGAGATGCATTTAGCAAAGTGGGTTTATCACCATTATAGAAATGTACTGCTGCCATTAGAATGATGGCTTATGGTTCACCAACAGATCTTATGGATGAAACATTGGGGTTGCTAAGAGTACAACAATGGAGTGTTTGATTCATTTTATTTTTGGTGTTAGAAGCCTATTGATTGCATGAAAGATATCTCACATAAGCCTACTAGTGAAGACATCCAACGCTTACTGCAAGTAGCAGAACAGCGTGGTTTCCCTAGGATGTTGGGTAGTCTTGATTGTATGCATTAGGAGTGGTAGAATTGCCCGGTTGCTTGGAAAGGGAAATTCACTCGAGGTGATTATAAGGTACCTACCATAATGCTAGAGGCTGTTGCGTCTTATGACCTATGGATTTGGCATGCATTTTTTGCAGCTGCTGGTTCGAACAATGATATTAATGTGCTTGACCAGTCACCGTTATTCATAGAACAACTACAAGGCAAAGCACCAGAGGTTCAGTTCACTGTTAATGGGTCATAATACAACATGGGTCACTATCTAGCTGATGGTATCTATCCAGAATGGGCCACATTTGTCAAGACAATCCTCAGGCCACTTAGTGCAAAGCATAAATTGTTTGCAAGCTTTCAAGAAGGAGAAAGAAAAGCTATGGAACGAGCCTTTGGGGTGTTGCAAAAGCGTTGGGCTATCATACGTCACCCAGCTAGACTCTCGGAACGGAAAGAGCTAGCCAATATTATGTATGCATTTATTATTTTGCACAACATGATAATAGAGGATGAGAGAGGCATCTATGACACACCAGATGATAACAAATATGAGCAAGCACAATCATCCCCAAATTAACCGGGCTTGCACATGGACCAATTTATGGATTCACAGATGTACTTGACAAAGACATGGAAATTCGTGATCGATCAAGTCACATGCGTCTCAAGGAAGATTTAATAGAACACATATGGCAAAAATTCAGTACACAGCAGCATCAAGCACACCAAGAGTAGAGTCTCAAGGAGTGAAATTTTATAGTTTTTTATGCAATGTAATCTTACAGTATTGCCTCAGCTAGATTACGGCTTATCCAATTAATTAAGGATTATGTGTTCCCCTCCATATGCTTTGTAATCGTATCAATATTTGGGCACTTGTACTTTCTTCCTTTCATTGTTCTCAGTTTGCAAACATAAACTAAATATAGCAATCGTACCAATTGTAAGTCCATGCAAACATAAACTAAATATAGCAGAGATTGGTGGTAGAGATACCTGATGAGGTGGAGTCTTGTTGCCGCGCTGGCCGTCTATGAGGTGGCCTTCCGCGAGGTGGACGTGCCCAAGATTTCCGCCCATCCACGCGCCATGGGAGGTGGTCGTGCTGCCCGTCCGCGATCTGGCCGCGCCGCTCGTCCGTGAGCTGGGCCACTCCGCCCGTCTGTGAGGTGGACGCGCTGGCCATCCGCGAGATGCCGGTGCCCCAGGTTGCCGGCCGTCCACGAGGGGGCGCGCCCCAGGTCGTTGGGCGCCCGCGAGGTCGCCGTGCAAAGCCACCCGATCTGACTGTGTAGGCTTCATCAGGGCAGGGAAGTTGCATATCCTAGTTGATGCAGTACTTGAGGAGGTAGATACGGAAGGGCATGGTCGGATTTGGTGGAAGGAGTGAGATCGGGGATGGAGGTGACGGAGGCGGCGGCGGCGGCGGACAGAGCTCTCCAGCAACTCGCGCGAAGGAAACGGGAGGTTGAGGACCGAGAATTTTATTTCATCGTGGGCCCCACTCCTATGGACAGATGAGCCGGATACATTGTGCCTTGTGAAATAGCTATCGCCACCTGCTGTGGGACCCAGTCCTATGGACTGGTTCACCCATATACATTGCTGTTGCTCTAAGAGGGCCGCACGCATGCTCCTGCCTGCCAACAGCCTAGTGTGGTGGTTCGTACAAATAGCGCAGGTCGCTAGTTTTTTTTTTTAAAAATCTTATAATATTTAGGAATATTACTTAATTAATTGTGTAAATAGTTTTCTTTATTTGTTTTATTGTAATTATCCTCTCCCTGTGTGCCTTCACTACATCTATATTAATATAAATAAACTTCGTGAAGCTGTCACTAACCAATTTCTAGGCTTAAAGGTATTATTGTCTCCCCCATCTCTTCACTTTTTTACAACTCGTACCTCATGGTTGCGCAACTTTTGTCCAGGCTAAAACACGGTAGCATTTAGTTTCCTCTTGATGAGCTAGCTTTGTCCTCGATAAAACCATTATCCAAGGCTTTCACAAATTGTTCAAATCCTTGGCCCTCGTTGTAAATTTAAATTTTGGATCATCATGTACCTTCCCTTGCGAATCCATAGTTGCTTTTTGTCCTAAAACATTGCCAGATTTGTCACAATGTTGCTCATGTGTTGGAGCCACTACTTCCTTAAGCAGGTACTAGCCGGTCACATCATGGCACCATCATCTATTGGCGTCTCAAACTTTTCCCCGAACAAGGTGTTTGATTTCGGGACTAAAGTTTAGTAGATGTCACATCGGGTATTTAGATACTAATTAGAAAGACTAAATATAAGCCTAATTAAGCTTAATAGATTCGTCTCGTAAATTAGTCTCAATCTATGCAATTAATTTTATAATTAGTCTATGCTTAATACTCTAAATTAATGTCTAAACATCTGATGTGATAAGGACTAAATTTTAAATTTTAGTAGGGAACAAACACCCATGCCTCTTTTTCGTAACGTTGTGGACCATGATGTGATCATTTTGTTACCACTTATGACATGCTTCATGAAGGAAAAAGTCGAACAATGTTGGTTGTGCTCCTCGCTAGCTTCTCACGCATGCGCATTGGGGAACCAATCAACTAATTGCACATAGAATATCAAAAGTTGATATATATGGTTTAAGTAAATTTATCATAGAGCCATGGTTGTTGGAATTGACATAGAATATTATATTTAGTTGTTTCCCCTTCATCGACATCGATACTGATGTCAAGACTTTCTGGTCCAAAACATAGGAAAAGATGACTCGACCAGGTTAAGGATGCGATGAGAGAATAGGTTGAGATGACAAGAAGAGAGCACAAAGGAGAAAGGAGCGGCGGCATTGGGATCAAAAACGGGTCAACGGTTTTATATAGCCACGCGAGAAATTAATGTCTAGCTTGAATAGCGGTTAGCTTACATATAATCCCACTCATATATCGTGGACAATCTCTGTAGTTTCCTTGTTTTTTTATCACCATGGAAAATCTGCGTGTAACACTGATTAAAATTTTACAATATTATATTTTTTATGCTTGTTCTATATGTATTGAATTTTTTTATCTATTCTATATACATTGGTAGAGACGTTTACAAACTTTACTTACAGCAATATACATAGAAATCAAACTACTATTTTTTGTAATTTTCAATTTTGAATTCAGCAATTTACTAATTATAATTTATATGGAATATTTATTCAGTATTTTCCTGATCTGTTTGGAGGCCAAACTATTATTTTCCATATTTTTTTAATTGTCCTTTGCTTATTGTGTATTTTATATAAACTCTTTATTAAGTATTTCTCTTTCCAACTCATATGGAAATTAACATACAAATTGTTATTTTTCCTTAATTCATGGACTTTTGGTTTAATCTATGCCATTAAATCATCATAAAATCCAACTATGTCAATTAATCAAATTGCTATTCTCCTTAATTATTATTTATTAATTGTACTAGACATACTCTTTGTTTAATATAAGCCATTAGATCATTATAAAATCTAGAGGTGTATGTTATTTTTTATCAAACTTTGTGCTGATATATAGAACATATTGGCGAACATGGTGACCCTATCGTGTCAT